GTCGAGGGTGGTCGCCCCTCAGGGAGCGGCGCCCTCCCCGCCCCCAGCGCGCCCTCGCCCGAGGGGGAGGAGGGGGCCTGCGAGGCGGCTCCCGGGGGTCGGGAAAGGCCCGGCAGCCTCCGTCCGTAGCGACGACGCGCAGAGCGGCCCTGTCCGCGCAGCCCGCCCGTGCGCGTTTATTGAGCACCTACTGAGTGCCAGGCGCGGGCGAGGCGGCAGCGAACGAGCCAGATGTGAAGAAGTCGTGAAGACCGGTTTACAGCGGATGTTTCAGAACAAGCGAACTTTCTACCACTCCCCACAGGACAATGGCCCCTAAGTGTGCTTGTCGCGGGACAGCCGCAGGACCCGGTCCGGAATGGGCGCGAGGCGCAGCTCGGCGGCAGACGACGCACCCGATCGGTCAGTCCTCGCGGGCGCGGCCCATGTGCTGGGCGACCCCGGGCCGGCGACGTTCGCTGCCCGGTGAGTGCGAGGCCAGGGCGGGCGCGGGGCGGGCGCGGGGCCGCGGGCCGGGGGCTCGATCGCAGATCGCAGAACTGCTCTGGCCCGGCGGGGCCTACACCTGACGCCTGTCGGCCTCGGCCGGGCTGAACCCGCGGCGGGAAATAAATGGCCCCTCTCAGCTCGAGGCAGGACGCCGTAAGGGAAGAAAGTTCAGCAAACCCAAGGCCCATCTCCTTGACAACCACCAATAAGAGCTCCTTTTTTCTTCTCCTGCTCTCCAGGCCCCGCTCATAGACAGGACTTTTCTCTTTTTGTCCACACTGCCTGCACCAGTTTGCGTCGGACGTTTCCCCTCCACACCAACTCCCTTCCCTGCCCCCAGCACACACACACGCACCCACGCCCTCACACGTAAGACACACGCTGTCACATACAATCATTCATATAGATCCTCACAGACACACCCTCACACACACACCCACGCCCTCACACGTAAGACACGTGCTGTCACATACAGTCATTCATATAGATCCTCGCAGACACACCCTCACACACACATCCACACTCTCACACGTAAGACACACGCTGTCACATACAATCATTCATATAGATCCTCACAGACACACCCTCACACACACATCCACACTCTCACACGTAAGACACACGCTGTCACATACAATCATTCATATAGATCCTCGCAGACACACGCCGTCATACACCCACACTCTCACACGTAAGACACGTGCTGTCACATACAATCATTCATATAGATCCTCACAGACACACCCTCACACACACACCCACACTCTCACACGTAAGACACGTGCTGTCACATACAGTCATTCATACAGATCCTCACAGACACACCCTCACACACACACCCACACTCTCACACGTAAGACACATGCTGTCACATACAATCATTCATATAGATCCTCACAGTCACACC